TTGCTCAATTTTGCAACGTTGTAGTCAATAATTGAATATTTAAGTGGGTAAATTCCTTAATTTGTAGCATGCACTAGTCACAACATGGCCTTTCAGACTTCCGTGTAGTCCATTTTCCAGCAATTCGATTAATTGATAACTAAAACGATTGCAATGCACTTTTAGAGAACCTCCTTTGCTTTGTGAGAACTTAAGTTAGTTTGAAAGCTTTACCTACTCTGGTAAAGGAAAAAAACCTTCTACTACAAGCTACTTACATAGAATAGCCCAATGATCAGTGTCCTTTTCGTTCTACAAGCAAAATACTAATTTTAGGCTGAGTCTAGGATGATATAATCAAACAATATTTTGAATTATTATTTTGATATATCTGGTTTGTGCTATGATATGCTTCGGTATTTTACATTCACAAATAAAAAAAAATAACAAAGTCACCACTAGCAAATATATTAAAGTTTAAAAAAATAGATCCATTCAAAATTAAACCGGATACAATTGGACGATTTTCCACTAGCCGGTACCGGTGCCGATATTCGCTCTGTTTTCATGGGCAGAACTACAATTCGTGTCGTAATTATTTGTATGTCTTTTACATTTAAGGTAAACAATAAATCAACGCTGGGAAATCAATTTTAACCTTCGCTACCGATCACATTCACACTCTCCAGCTTTTAATTGGTATAAAAAGCACATTCCATTTCACCGAGAGGGCAAGTCGCAAACTCCCAGGCGAGATCAGAATTAAAAAGATGAATCGTCGCCAAGGCGGCCGCTTACCAACGGCACGAAGCCCCGCGGGGGCACACCACTGTGAGTTGCAGCCCAGGGTAGAAAGAGCTCCTCTTCGAATCCGAACGTCTCCCCTTCGTCAAGATTGACGACTCGCAATGACGGGCAGTTTGCTGCCCTGGAACCGGCGGCGGCACTGTGAAAGCCAACCGGCGTGCCGCCGCAAGTGGAAAGACCAAAGGTGTTCGATGAAGCCGCTTTGTGAGTTTTTTTTTATATAATCTCGTCTCACACTTCGGTCTGATAGCGATAGTTTAGAGACATATAAACAACCAGAGAACAGGAAATTCTCGAATTACTGTAAAAAAAGAATAGGACCAGCACTGTCCGAACATGTCCTGAATAAATTAAGAAAAACCGTTTGATGTAAAGTAGTCCTTATTAAATTTGTTGTAACAATAGTTATCCTATCCATGTGTGGATAAAACTAGAAAATTTTGTAAAAGATTTTTTTATAATAGAATAAATTTCCTTGTGACTTCATTTTTAATTTTATAATTATGTTTATCTCATTTATTCAACTTAAATTGATTTCAATTTGAGAGTATCCGCCGAAAACGGTCAGATTCGTGGCAACACAACTCATGGCTGCTGCACCATGATAATGCACCATCACACACAGCCATTATTGTGAAAGAGTTTTTAGCGAAAAATTCAACAAAAGTTCTCGACCAAGCACCGTATTCACCTGATATGGCTTCGTCTAACTTTTTTTTATTTCCCAAGTTACAATTACCACTTCGAGGAAAACCTTTTGAGTCGATAGAAGCCATAAAAGAAAATTCGCAGAATGAGCTAAAGGCCGTTACGCAAGTAGCCTACGAACAATGTATGGAGGACTGGGTGAAGCTGTGAAACAACATGTATTGTAGCAATGGGGCCTACTTTGAAGGTGATAAATTTTTAGATGAATAATTTGTATTTTTTTGTTTTATTGAAAATTTCCCGACATTAAGTACACAGAATGTAAAAGCAATTACCCTTTTAATTTACGTATGGTAAAGGACATACTTTATTTATTGGCCGCTTATACATACCATTTGAAGTTCAAATAGTGACGACACGTACAATGTTGTCAACACCGGGAAGAATTTGTTCTATGCGTCCGAGAGGCCTTTGTAATGGTCGCGTTAAAGTAGATTTAAATAATACTAATAACTTAGATTAAAACAAAAAGTGAAGATACAGTACGCTCATACCAGCATCAAATAAAATATGATCCGACTCAACTACATAAGCAACTCTCACACAGGCACGCGTCTGTACATAAACATTCAATCGAGCTAGCGAGACACAACTATACGCTTCAATGCAGCGTATTGTTGTCCTTTTCTTGATAACAAAATGGCGATTACGTAAATAACATTTATAACAAACCGTGATTTTTGAGAAAATATTTTGTTACAATTTTACCAATGAAAAGTGTTGCCAAGGCATTTGTTATTTTCGGGGTGGGTCTGTTCACGGACAATTACCTTGCGGGTGCGCGGACAGTCGGCAACGGTTGCCGCGACCACACACGCAATCCCGACGTGCATGGTGCAGGAGTATTGTCTGGTTTTTAGTGGCCCTCTTCAGGGCATTAGGTAGGGCCCTGCTTATTTTACCCGGCCCAAGGGCTGGCTGTAATGAGCAGGGAGGAGTCCCACATACCTTTTTCTCGCTCCCCCGGTGGTTGAAGGATGCGTAAGGCATTTCCCAGAAAAAAAAAGGATTTGTTATTTGATTTTGAACTATTTGTGTTCTTTATAAAAGCATCGAATGCATTGTTTTATCTTCATAACACAGAATATACGCAATATTGTTATATTGAGTGCACATGCAGCGTATTTGAATGTCCAGTTGTGACTAAAGCGAATTATGGTTATGTACCACAATTTAAGCGGAACATTTTTGAGCCGCGAGTGCCGTATCCCCTCTTTTTGTTTTAATCTAAGACTAATAATAAATATTCGCTCGAAAGAAACTCGCATATTATCAATTTCACTAGTACGCGTCATAAACAAATCTTAAGAATCGGCCAGCAAAGTAGTCTACAGGTGTAGTTACATTCAGCCAAAGACTGATCGAAGTTGTTTATAAATATAAAAATAAATCTATTTTGTAAAGATCGATAAAATAAAACTTTTTTTTTATTATACTGTGGTATTAATATCCACAACTATATTATTATTTTCATTACATGCAAATATATGGTTGTATAACCTAAATCTCCTAGCTTTCTTTAGTTAACTACAGTTTAAAAATTCTCTCTGCTTCTTCTTTTATTATGCCATGACAGCTAGAAAAAAAAAATCCTTCTAATCTGTCTTCTAAATAATAGGCTAGTTGCCTATATTTTAAATAGTGGTTAATAAAATACCTTGATGTTTATTTAACCTCAAAAAAATATTATTTTAAATAAAAAAGTACATTAGCAATATGTATTTTGTATTTTAAAAAACTTATTCAAATTTCCCTCGAAAACGCTCTAGACTGTCATGGCGTCTAGAATGACGTCACGCCGTGCAAAGCAAACAATACGCTGTACGCCGACTATTAAAATTATTTAGTTAATAATGAATCCATCTTATTACAAGTACTGCATAGTGTCCTAGTATAAAAGGAGAAGCATAAAACGCCAGACAAATTATTTATATGCCACAAATGCGGAAAAAATGGTTAGAACTTACAAGGAGGGATGGTACCTATTCATTGTTTATCAACAAATACAAGAATAATTTTGTGATGAACATTTTGATGTAAGTATTTTGCATAACATAATCAATGAAATCAAAATGTTATACAAGCCGGATAAATTATATTGCATTATATTGATAAAACAATGACAATAGTTTGAGGTTAGGTAAGTTGATTTAATTTTATGGTATGATTTAGAGTCTATTTGAGAGTTCAGTATATTTATTCATAATAATAAACACTTCTTATTCTTGTTCTAGTTGCCAAATGATATGCTTAATTATGTCGAGTAGTTATGCGATAAATTTTTTATTTTGGTTAAAATATTATTATTTTCTTCGGTAAATCCCAATTCCATGGATATATTAGCCTTCCTTTCAATAATTATCTGAAAACAAACTGATAAATTGTATCAAAGTAACAATAACATGAATGAGAAATCAATGAAATGTATGGAAACGGCAACCAAAATAATGTTTTGCACGTGGTGACGTCAGTCTTTCTGATTGGTGTTTGCCGTCACGTGATCTAATGCCTATTTTATTCAAATTTATTTTCTAAAAATAATAATAATCTTTAATTATTATGATAAATAGCTTTATTTTTTGTTATCTGTATATTATAATTCATATTTAGAAACTGTAACCCATTCGATTTATTGTTAGTTGACACAAGCCTATTCACAATCATTCAAAGTGCAAAGACAATCATCACACAGTTTCTGTCACAGAGTACCTTATTATAACCGGAAATGCATAGATGATACCTGATTTTAAAAGCTACTCTTGTGCATTAACTTTTAAAACAGGCAACTATCTGTTAATCTACATGCTCTATATACCTAAATCTAATACATAATTTCGGTACTTGGCTTGATCTCCCTAGTTTACTATATAACTTATTTGTTTTTATTATTTTAATACCTATGTACCTATTTGCAAACATAACCTCAAAATCATTCAGTGTATAGGTTTTTAGAAGTTCTTAGGGGTGTCCGTCAATAATATTCGTTTCTGCAGTAATCTATAATAATAATTTCGTCAAGGGGTACGGTAGACTCGATCGAAACCTTATATGAATAACAAAACATAAAAAAATATTGATTTCGAGTCGACAACATATATTCGTAAAATTCGAATTATGGAGTATTTCGTTAAATTCTAATGGCACTGACAAACCAACCGCAGTCGCCATCCAAACAAATTGCCGTCGCCATCTTAGATACGCCTCGCCAATCACCACATCGCGTGCATCGCGCCAAAAAAGTATCGTTGACGTTTCGCGAAAATATTGTTTTTGACACTTTTTTTATGATATACTCTTTGTTATGTGTTTTTTCTCTAAACCTGAGATTGGCCGATTACGATAACAACCATAGAAAAAAGAATACTAACCATAACCATAAAAGTTGAAGTTTTAGTTCAAATGTCATTTAGTTTCGCATAGTGATTTATTCGTTTGGATTACACACATCATGCCGAAAATCGTAAGTATTTCATAAACTGTTCCGTTGGTCGTGTCTCTGTCTTCGTTTATTATTATTTGTTTGATGATACCTATGTCATTTTGTTAACAGCCGGATCTCCTTGCATTTGGTAAACATTGGCACAATTGTGAAAAGTGGATGCAGCGAAGGGCTCTTCGTAAAGATGGTGAGTAGTATTTTAGTAGGTATGTCGGCAGGTTGTGTTTTTAAGTGAATTTAGTTTGTTTTGTTCTTAATCTGTGGATTGTAAAACTTTCTGCATTTAAATAAAATAAGTATACTTATTTACTTCCAGTGACATGCAATTTTTGTAATAGCAAAATATTTGTAAGAAACAGCAAGCAAATGCAAATGTGCAGTCGATGTGTGGAATGTGACAACATTATACTCGGTAAGCGGCTCAATATTTTTTCTCTATAACCCGACAAATAATAATAAATGACCACATGCATAGCCTGTGTTGAGTTGACATTGAACACATACAGAAACAAACACGATTTTTGCACCGTTTTTATTGATAATGGAATGGACCCCTTCATGCGCAAGTTCAACTTGAACTTGGCTGGTTCTTATTATACAATTAGACATTATTAATTGTATAATATATTTTTGCAGATAATTTCAATTATTGCGAGTGTTGTGGCCTAGAAACAATTAGGCAGTTTAGAATAACCAAGGCTCGGACACTTTCAAACCTTTTCCAAAAAATCAAGCTGCTCCTGCTGCATCCCAAAATTTATTTGATGACTTTCAAGTACGTTAATGGTGTAGGTCACTAAGTAAAATGAAAAATAATGCTTATTACCAGATATAGGTGGGAGGATATACCTACACCTACATATATTCACAATACTTATTATTATTATTTTAATATTTGTCTAATATATTTTCTCCTTTAAGGTCGATAACGAATGGTTGACGCTAATCGAAGATTCACTGATGACTGATGATGTTTCTTCGGACAACGAGAAAAAACAGCTGCTATCAGTCAGCAGTGATTTTATTACTTTAGAAGAAGAGGAGAAAGAAAACATATCAAATGGCGGGCAGACCCCCGAAGAAACGTAAATATTCAAGCAGGTTTAGTACAGAACATCAGCCCCCCAGGACTAACTATGTATATTTAGCACTTTCAAATAACACCATTCAAGTATCAGTACATTCAGTTGGTTCTATGATTTATGAATATGGTCAATGTCAAGCACTTCATTTTATAGGAGAAAAAATTTAAAATAATTTTAAAAATTGTTGTCATAATGGTAAAGTATACATAGACTCAGACAGAGTATTAAAGCCAATTCCAGATATATTATTAGATTTATACGAAGGCAATACGTCTGATGCTAATCATTTTAAGGCTAATATACGACAATATAATTCAACATTTGCAATGGCATCCATAAATTCAAATTTGAACACACTCCCTCCAGGATTCTTCACTTATAGGGTACAAGGGCAAATTTATATAAAAACTGGATCTTTGGTTCCGTTGCAACGTCATAAACCACAATACAACCAATTATATATAATTGAAGATGAATCAGCATTAAATGAACGATTATCTGATTCTAGAAATAACATAATGTAGAAACAATATAATGAGGTCCTTAAACAATGCTCAATGAATCCAATACTTTTGTCAAAATATACAAAAAGGTGGCTGCAATTTTAGCTGAAGAGGAATTAAAAGCAGCCTCAGAAAATCGACCCAAATATTTGGTATCAATGCAGTTTTATAAACATAAATCTCTTGATTTGCGTCGGTATAACACACCATCAAATAATGAGGTAGCGGCCATCTTTGTAGGAGAAAACGGCGAACCTCCATTAAATATAGACTTCTCTGTACAAAAATATTCTCAACATTTAACTATACTCAAATCAACCAGTCCAAATATTGACCCTTTAGCCTTTTCTCTTCTTTTTCCTAATGGAGAACTCGGATGGCATGAAAATCTTCAACATAGAGAAGAGAGTCGAACTGCTCGAAGCCGTCTTACATTGTTACAATTTTATCAGTATAGACTTGCTGTTCGTAAAAATTTTAACCCATTATTTTACGCCGAAAAACTTTTTCATGAATATTGTGTCTTGGCCTATGTTAGGATTGAATCTCAAAGGTTATTGTTTCTTCGAATGAATCAAAAACAGCTCAGAGCTGACAATTATAACAATTGTTGCCTGTACAATAATGATAGAGAAATGGGTCAAGGCATTGGTAAAATGATAATATTGCCATCAACTTATGTGGGAAGTCCTCGGCACATGATGCAAAATTATCAGGATTCCATGGCAATTGTATGCAAGTATGGTAAACCAGACTTATTTATAACATTTACGTGCAATCCGAATTGGCAGGAAAGAACAATGGCCAGATTTCTATATGAGCTGGACTTGACTTTTATTTTTGATGTCCCTTAATAAACTATAGTGAGAATGGTTTGTTTTTATGTTGTAAATACTATCCCGTTTGAAAATCTTATATAAATAGCCATGATTTTTTAAAATATCGCCACTAATACTTTTGAGGTTATAGTCAACAAATACCTTTTACCCGACTGCGGCGAAGCCCAAAATGTAGTAGCGAAAAGCGAAGAGGGTAATTGGCGATCTCATAGCTATTTTATTCGATGCCTCATAGAAAAAAAATAGGACTGAACTAAACAGTGGTTATTAGTTCAGTCCTATTTTGGGGCATTTTTCTGGCTGTGCCGGCTAAAGAGTAAGTTGTTAGACTCGATTAGTCAGTGAGTGAAAGATATCAGGTATATAGTCTCGCTATATACCTGATATCTTTCACTCACTGACTAATCGAGTCGAAGTAATAATGGTACCCATCATAAGGTAATAATGGTGGGTATGGGGATAAATGAAAGAAAAGTCTTGACAAAAATATTATTTAGTTATCAGTCCGTAAATCAATGCCAAGGTCAAAATGACAGAAGGTAATCCAAAATAGTACAATCACAATAATTCACAACAACAATCTTAGCGAAAGCGTTAGCACAGAATGATCACTGTCACTGTGTGTCAGTCAGTCAATCGATGGCGCCGATCGATCGACCGTTATATGCATAAACCGAGCAATTAAACAAAAAGCTCATATTCAATTTGTACTTACTTACTACTACTTACTTATTACTTTTATGATAAAAGTCCTTTAAATACCTAATAACACTAGTTGATCAGATGCCTAACTATTAATTGAATTACGGTTAACAAGTATTTAGAAAAAGAAATAATTTATACAGTCTATGAATATTAAATCATTGTGCGAAATTAATCGTCAATGGGTGCGTTCTGAACATGTTATTCCAAATAATTTCAAATAAATAACCAAAACACAAAAACGGTATATCTTTTTAATGTGAGAGAAATATGGATATTTTGCTTATATTTTCTAAAACCTTTAAAAATAAGGGATTTTTTGATATATATTGCATATTGGGACGTCATCGTTTCCTCATCAGGTACGATTTGGCCATCCTTCTTTTAGATAATTTACAAGACACTAAAAAAGACATAGACCCGATTTAATTGCCAGAATTTTCTAACTTAAATTGGAGGAACTTTTAGATGACATTACAAGGAAACATATTTTTGGAATACCGAGTGCGTGATTTTACACCATTGAATTTCAGAAACGTAGGTTTCCAAATGCACATATGCTTATTATTCTAAGAAATGAAGATAAACCAAGGTCATCAGTAGATTATGATAAATTTGTGTGTGCAGAAATACCTGACCCAAATAAAGACCAGGAACTTTTTTAGACTGTCAAAAAACATGATCCATGGGCCATGTGATCTTGGATATATGAATTCACCTTGCATGAAAAATGATGAAACTGCTCTAAATGTTCTAAAAACTACCCAAAGACATTTTGCGAAGTAACTAGAGATGGTACCCAAAATGAAGTTTATGCTATAATAAGAAGAAGAGACGACGGAAGAACAATAAAAAAGAAGGATTTCGAGTGTGATAACAGATGGGTGGTGCCCTACAATCCCTATCTATGTAAAAAATTTAATGCTCACATAAATGTTGAAATTTGTTGCAAGTGTCAAAAGTGTGAAATATATAAATAAAATATATTTATAAAGGTCATGACCGAGCAAATATACAAATCACAGTAGCGCCACAAGAGTCCAGTGATCAATCGACATTAAGCAATAAACACCATGATGAAATTAAGGCTTATATTGATACCAGGCATGTTTCGGCCCCTGAAGCAGTTTGGCGAATAATTGAATTTTCAGTGCACAAAATGAGTCACACAATTATACAGTTATGTGTTCATTTGAAAAACCAACAATCTATCGTATTTACAGATCAGAATGTTCATGAAGCAGCAGCTAGATCAGCGGAAAAATCAACATTATTAGCATTTTTTGAACTAAACAGAACAGAAGAAAGTGCTCGACAATATCTTTACACTGAATTCCGACACATTTCAGATTTATCCATGGACAGTGGCAACCACGAATATCTCAGTCAGCGGCTGATAAAGTAATTGCAAGAATGTATAATATTCCTTTTATGATCGGGAACGATATTATCTCCGGCTATTACTTCTTCACGTCAAAGGGCCGACTTGCTTCAGAGATGTTAGAACTTATGAAAATATTATTTACAAATCATTCCGAGAAGCTGATCAAGCAAGGGGGCTCCTTTTTGACGATCAAGAATGGGAAAGATGTTTGGATGAAGCAATTGGTTTCAAACTTCCTCGGCAATTACGACAGCTGTTTGCGTTAATTTACGTATTTTGTGAAGTAACTGATCCTAATGCTCTTTGGGAAAAGTTTGCATCACATTTTATCGAAGACTTTACAAGATCACGCCCTCAAATATTATCCAAACAATTGGCTTTACAAGTAATTGATGAAACATTAAAACTCCACGGAAAGAGGTTAACAGATTTCGGACTTCCGGAGCCAGATATTGATGAAAATAATATTTTCTTATCTGATCCCGTTTATCAAATGAAATGGCTATAAAAATACCAAAAATTGAACACCGAACAAAAATATGTGGTCGATACAATACTAAACGCTGTGAATAATCCCACAGAGAGAAAGCTGTTTTACCTTGACGACCCAGGAGGAACTGGTAAAACTTTTGTATTTACAACTATTTTACATATTTTAAGATCTTAAAACAATTTATGCCTACCCGTAGCGTTTTCTGGTATTGCAGCAACTCTGTTAGATGGTGGTAGAACAGCTCACTCGCGATTTAAAATTCCAATTAATTCAGATGTAGATTCTACGTCTCATATGTCGTTAGGGTCAACAGCAGCTATGTTATTGAAGGAAACTCATTGAATCATTTGGGATGAAGCACCCATGACTAAATGTCATGATATTGTTGTAATTAATCGACTCTTTCAAGATATAATGAAAAATAAATTACCTTTTGGAGGCAAAACTTTGTTATTCGCAGGAGATTTTCGTCGGATTTTAGCAGTTGTAGTTAATGGGTCACGAAATGATATTATAAAAGCTTCAATTAAGCACTTTTCAATGTGTGATTTTCGGCATGATGTGTGTAATCCAAACGAATAAATCACTATGCGAAACTAAATGACATTTAAACTAAAATAAAAATAATGTGTGTAAAAACCTTTGCAGTTTTTTTTTACTATATTTATTAAACACAACGAACGAAGCTATACGAATCTATATTTAATATTCTTTGAGAACCGATGACTACAGAAATCTCTACCTACATTTTGCACCTAGATGTGTATTATGAGTCAAATTTCACCCGAGCGAAGTCGGGTTTTCATCTAGTTTATTTATAATTTCGAATCTAGAAAACAATTTTTCATGATTATTGGTCTTTAGGCCAAACATGTTTGGAAGCTGAGCAATCTCCTTTAAAATAACTGATTTTATTAACATTAACACAAATTAACAGTTAAAAGGGTGGCAATCAAGTATATGGCTTGCTTGATTGTAAGGACTATAGCCTATAGACCAGTGGTGGCCAAACTTTTTGAATGGCGGCCCATAAAATTTATGAAATTCTTAAGGAAGGCCCTTTAGTTTTGAAAGTTATGACTAACAGTCTTATGTCAATTTCAACTTTTATACCTACTTTTTAACATCCAATCTTCGAAATTTTTTTTTTCAGACCATATAATATCGAAATTGAAAACCCGTCGGCGGGCCGGATGTGGCCCGCGGGCCGTACTTTGCCCACCACTGCTATAGACGCTTGCGAAATCAAATTATCACTCGCGCCGCTGCCTTTCCTAACCCATTCCCTATCCCGTGGAGCTCTGGAACCTTACTCACCGACAGAAACACAACACCACCAATAGGTAGTATTATTTCTCTGTAGTAGTAAGGTGGGGGTTACTTCCCCAAATGGGCGCTCCAATTCGAACGGAAAATCTGCTGTGCTTTACCTCTCTTATTTTAGTTGAAAATAAAATATTATAGAACGTCTATAATTAAGGTATGAAATAAAATTATATAAAATAAATAAAGTATAAAGTAGCGGTAGAAGGACCAAAAGAAACTGTGCGGTTTGTACACAATTTTAAAAACGCTAGTAATAAGTTTTAAATGTTTAAATGTGTGTATGGATATTCACAGTTCTTGCCAAATCAAAAGGATAAGTAAAATTCACTAACCTTGATCATCTACCTTCGCAAGTGAACGTCACCAAATCGGAGACTAACGCACGGCATTGCGGTGCTTTAGGGCGGCAAGAACTTTCATTCCAACCAAAGGTCTATAGCACGGCAATAAACTGTAGGAACTTATTTCCACTAAACGTTAGTGGTATTGTTGACACGACGAGAAAAACCTTATTTCGGCGCGCTCGGGACGAACGGTTTTTCTGTGCCTTTTCTGTGTGGTCGAGTAATCACAAAGCGATGATACCCGACCAAAATTAGTGAATCGAGTTTAACTTACCCTCTTAATATTAGGCAAGAACTGACGAGAAGGAAAGGAGACTTTTCCCAAGAGGCGATGCCATCCGCTTAAAAAACCTCTAGTTGCCCTCTCCAATTTGTAGAGGGTGTCTTCATCATCTTCAAGGTGGATCATCGTCAGTATCTTTATTAAAGATGTACGAAAGTAAACATTAATCATTAATTCTTTAAGTTTCTCAAATCCAGTTAGTGTTTATGAATCTTAGGAAATAGTTCGAATTTCGTTTCGTACATCTTAGTATGGGAAGTAATGAAGTTTCAAAATATAGATTTTCTTGATATTAAATGGTTTAATAAATAGGATAGAGTAAAGTTTTGCTGATAGATGGGATAAAATAAAAATAGCTTGGGTAATATAAGGAATAGCTAGGGATAGCTTTGTTTTTTGTTTTTGCCGACTAATGTCGATGTTAAGTAAAGTTAAGGTTAGGGGGGAGATGTACGAGGGATTTTGTTAAGGTTTTGCTCCCGTAAAGTCTTTGCAATAAAACTTTGCAAACAGTTAGGGTTCGTTTCCCGTAAAGTCTTTTTTGCAAGTTTTGCAAACTTATTGTGAGGGCTAGTCTGTAGTAAAGGCCACCTCCCAGTTGTTTATGTCCTTAAGCAGGTAGGGATTTTAGATAGGACCGTCGAACCCTCTCGATGTAGTAGGTAGGAAAAAAAAATTTTGTTCGGTCATCTAGTATGACAAAACAATTTTTTTTAGCAGTGCCGGAGGGATGTAGCTTCCGTTACGTTACAGCCTCCTTGTTTAGGTAAACTCTTTGTTCTTGCAATGCCTACGGCTGGCAGTTGTATTAAAAAGTTAATGTCATGATTTTAAGATTTGAAATAAGGAATCATCTGTCTTTTGATAGAAGGTTCCATACAGAGGTGATCTTCAGGCAGGTATTAGCCTGAAATCAAATAAAATCAATATAAAATCCAGTATCTTTTAATAGTAGCTACGTCCCTAGGTTCTATCCACTCTGGCTAGAACTCCGCAGTACCCTAAGGATCTCGCCGCCCCTACTCCTTTGATGCTGTAAGGCACCTCGCGCACTAAATGGCCACGACCACGACCAGTGGCCGCAATGACTAGATTAGCTGAAAGTTGGTCATTGCGACCAAGACCGCGACGTTCGTATATTTTTTTTTTTAGTTAATCCGTTTGTTCCGGCCACTCGCCGTGATCGTGGCCGTCTAGTGCACGAGATGGCCACTCGCCGTGATCGTGGCCGTCTAGTGCACGAGATGCCTGGAGGTCATATACTTCGTCTAACATCACACACTCCAAAAAAATATCTCGAAATTTCCCATTCGCTAGCAAGGAGAGCGTAGTAGTTACATCTTGGCCTTCAGAACACACCCTACAGACTTGTAGTCATTTGCTAGCTGAAAGAAATGGGGTGATCAAAGCCTCATCAAAATGCTCCATTAGAAAGAAGAAAACCTTTTTTTGAAAAGAAAATTATATGATCCTCTGTTGAGGTCACCGCTGTATAATAATACAGCGGTGACCTCAACAGAGAGTGGTGGTGAGGGATGCAGTTGCAAAACTATCTAATGCTGGCACTTGGCTATTCGTATTTGTTATTTGTAAACATGATAACCAACCGACCTTATCATGCTTTATAAAAAATGAAAAACTTTGTTCACAAAAATAGCAAACACGAATAGCCGAGTGAAGTGTCGGCATATATATAAGGGATAGCTGTATGAAATTCGCTTGTATCCTGTTTGAATTTTATTTTATACTTTCGCTCAAAGCGTTTAACCCCTTTTAGTTAACGGAATCAAAGCCTTTCATGGGTTAATCTATATTAGTGTTCCGTAATGGACTGCGAGCGAAAGCAAAAACAATTATGAGTGGCACACGTCACCTGCAAATTTTCCCGCGCAGATTGTACACTTATGTCAACCTACTAGCCAATGAACGCGATTGGGTCTGCAAATAAATTATTATTTGCTAAATCCATTAAGATTTTCCCTATTTTAAGACTAATGTAGGAATGTAAATAGACAAATGGACAGACGACGGTTTTTGAGTATAGTCGAATCGAGTCCGGGATATGGTCATAATACTAAATATGCAATTGTCAATTACATCCTGTATGTGACACTTGACATGACACTGTCATTAACAAGTCGATATTCTACTTAATAAATTGTATTATGCAGGGGTGTATTTACCCTTTTTTATTACGCAGGCAAAACCTTTATTTGCAGACGTTGGCAGGGGCACACCAACGAACGGACCTCACATCTAGCATCTCGCAAGTCTCACAGGTGCGAAACGGAGAAGCCGTTAAGCAGTCCGCGCGACTTACGAACGCATGCGGCATACTATCCGCTAAAAAACCCTGCGCATACCCTCTACGCTGTTAAGTGCAGAACCGCGAGATCCCCGTTGAGGGGCTTCACCGCGTCAGGGGTGTATTTACCCTAGGGCGAAGAGGGCTATGACTCATGGCGACAGGCAGCGAGAGGCGGGTACAAGAGCTGCGAGGAAAACCATTCGTTACTGACGTACATTTTGATCCGATTTACTAATTCTAGAGGAGGGGCTAAATTTACTAATTTATTAATTAATACAAATCGTAAGTGGTCCGCGGAGGCAAATTTGAAAATACACCCCTGGTAATAAGGTACTTATACAAGTGGAGGCACTAGTAACTATTTCTATCTCTGACTGAGCGAGCTGAGCAGTGTCTTACTTGTTTCCAATATAATTAAAACATGATACCGTAACAAAATGTCAATGTTTACCGGCAACGGAACATTGGAAAAGGTAAGCAATTAATAAAATATATAAATATTTCCAACACTCACACCAATTAGCCTAACCCCAAAGTAAGCACTGTAAGGCTTGTGTTATGTGATACCAGGGTAATGGTTAGAATACATTAGAATTACGCTGGAATAGTTAGTTTTAGCAATAACGGTGCAGCATCTTATTCCCTTTGAGATCAAATGCAGCGACGTGTAGTTCAGTTTATTAATTGCATGACGACGTATACTGGAATCCGTACAGGATACACTTCTCCTTTAGGTTTGAAACGCATCCGCCAGCTTATTTGACAAGCAAATACCTAAACGAGCGCATCTCAGGTCGTAACATATTATATCGCGTCGATCATAACTTGCATAAGTTGTATGAAGATTTTCAGAAGAAGACTGCGTTCGGTTAACTAACAAAATTAATTTATAATTTTCTTATTCACCACCTAAAAGTAAACCTCATATGCGGAATTTATTTATTTACTTTATTCGTTCGTGTTTGGGTTACAGACATCCATCTTTGTATCAAATTTCAACGTGATCAGTTCAGTAGATTCCGAGCAAATCAACTGTGGCAGACAGTTAACCGAGTGATCCCATAAGAGTTCCATTTTTTCCGATTGAGGTACGAAACCATAAAAATCAAATTAGTATCATTCTAAACATCAGGTGAACGCAACTGCACTAAACTTTGAAATTTGATATTGAGTAACAACAACTGACTTAATACTTAACATGTTACATATTTATAGCAACGAACAGTAACTAAGTCTACGAAAGCTTAAACTTCAAAGTTTTTCTAATCATATTATACCTTTGTTAGACGTACGTACGTAAACATTTAAATACTTTTTCAATGAAAAGATGAAGCATTTACATAGCTTTCACTCGACTGTACATATAAAGGCG